TCTGCGCGACTGGTGAACTACTTTGCTGAGGAACGTATACTATAGAAGAAGAGATACATGCATTGCAATAAACAATTTCTCATGAGAATCATGCTTCAACAAAATCCCCAGTTTCCCATCCACTGCCGAGCTAAAGAAAAGCTCGTCTCGTACTCACTCGGCCTTCCAGTCGGATTGCTGCATAAGATGTAGGGTATGGTCGCAGCACAATTCTACACGAGTGCCTTAGTTCGATTGAGCTCCTCGCGCGGCTGCGTCGACACCGAGCCCTCTTGCCCTTCGTGAACTCATGAATACGTCGAATTTCTTGAAAAATGTATTTCCACAGTATGCGTGTCTATGAGTTGTGTCTTTGGTCAGAGGACGTGTTGCCCATAGAATAATGAATGATAAAAGTCCAAGCTCTCATTTCTCAACAATTACAACCTGATCTGCTCCAAACGTGCTCATTTGTCTTTGGGCTGCTGGTATATAACACTTCTGCAGCTGACTCAGTGAGGAAGGTTGATTAACCTTTTGCTTTCAAGTACGAATGCTTGATCGTATTTTTGTGATACAATCGTCACCTTGTTGATCAAGAACATTAGAGGGTTGTTTAAGAATCTTCTGGATTATAAGATCCTCTCACGTTGACCTTGACATGTCACCCATGATCACAGATCTCAGCCCATTGGTGTCAAACGTCGTCGAAATCATAGACGACCAGATGATAATCACAAAAGGGGAATTCTGATTGAAGTCTTAGAGTGTTCAATCATGATGTTTACATATCTATGATATCAGAGTACAGATAATAAGTGAGAAAAACTAAGCCCAAGATACTTGAAGTAGACCTAATGAACTTGAGGTCCTGAAACGCTGAGCCCGAGATTAGATGTCACCATGAATGAAGAAACCTCTTGATGTGAATTTATCCGAGCGTACGATATCCTGCTATCTGTCCCCTAGTTGATGATTCATAAAGTTCCAAAGTGATCGCCGCAGTAAAACACGGTAATGATTTACGAGACTCAACCCAAGTATGAAAACTATCAACGACTTCCCGAGATTGATGGAAGACTTGTTGACCGGGTTTATACTCCAAAGAACCACCATCAGCTTTTCCCGGCACAAACAACATCGAAGCCGCACTCTCATCTTTAAACATGGATCGTAATCGAAACTCGCCATTAGAAACAGCTTCGAGACTATATCCAAGGATTTCCTTCATGGCTTTCCGATAAGATTTTGTACCTTCTTCATACATCTCATTCAACCGTCGCCGGGACTTGATGGAACTTGATAATTCAGCTTCTAAGCGCTCGATGTCATGGCGAAGCGAAACGAGTGATTCCCGTGGCACCAAACCTTCATCCGGGTCAGTGGACTGATTCAAGCCTTTTTCAAGACTGGAGACTCTATTGAGAAGAGCTTTGTTCTCGGCCTTCAGTGCTTGAAGTGTTGCGATACGGATTGCCATGTCATGCTGAAGAGGACCGCCATCTGGTGCTAGTACTTGAGTTGTGGTATGATTGTACTCGCCTCGACCGAGATCTCGTTCAAGGTTATGAACTTGGCGCTTGAGAGACTCCATATCTAACTGTAGCATTCTATTTTCTTCTGCTAACTCGTCGAGTTCTAAGCCAAAGTATTGGTTAAAAATAGCGTTATTGTCAGATAATTCACAGAAGTAAGCAGAAGATTGCTAGGTGACTCACCTAAATCAAGGGCTTCATTCTTAGCAATCTGTTCTGCCAAGGAAGCCTTCACGGCAGCGGCCTTTTCAGGACTCTTCGATACAAAACTTGCGTCAGCTGGTTCGACAGACTGGCTCGATTCCTCACGTTCTTTCTTCGACTGTGCAAGTTCCTGTTGAAGCTGCAGCAATTCTTTTTGATGACTTTCAAGGAGTTCCTCTAGATGAGCAACCTTCAAAATATTTTGTTGATCGAATGTCCCATCTGTCGAAAGAAGTTTTTCTTCTGCTGTGTAACTCTTGAGTTGCTCGGTAAGCATCTGAATTCGACGTTTATCCAATCCCCGATTCCTTTCCGCTATCGCTACTTGACTTTCAGTCTTCACCCTCGTGGCGTACTCATCATCTCGTTCGCGTTCAGCCTCCTGCAATCGAGCCTCTAACTCAGCGATCATTCGATCTCTACTCTTCATTTGAGCTTCACGTGATCCAAGTCGTTCTTGTAACGTTGCATTCTCAATCCTAATTGTAGCTAAGGCTTTCGATAGTTCGTGTGGACTTGAAAATGTGACATCTTGGTTCTTTTCCAGATATACTGTCCACTCAGATTTCTCTTGTAACAATTTTTCTCGTTCAACTTCGATAGTGGCCAACTTTCTTCGGATGTCATCTGCCGCACTCAAACGAGTAGTCAAGCTTCGATTTTCTTCTTTCAAAATCTCGATGTTGGTATGATTTGTTCGATGAATATCAAGTTCACGTGTGAGCCGAGCATTGGTTCGTTCCAATACTTTGAGACGGTCGACCTGGCCTGGGTGAAGTTGCATTTGTTTTGACGTATGAATGCAGTCAGATGGGGCGTAATGAATATGTTCTTACAAAAGCACCTTTCTATCTATGGGAAACACGTACGACTAAGCTCTTCCCTCAAAATCTCCTTAGCCTTTGCAGGGGTACCAGATCCAGGTTTCTGTCCATTGTCTTTCGTCTCTCGAAGTACATTCAATTCTTTACGGACTTCGATCACTTCGTCTTGGCTAGATTGCAGGGATTTCTGCGTCGAGGCTAGTTGTTTTTGTATTTCTTCCATATTTCGGGTCAAGGTCTGAGCCCGTTCTTCAGCTGCCAAAGCAGATTGTTTGGCACGAGCCTCATTGTGATCGGCCATTCGTCTCTTCTGTTCTAATTCAGTAGTAAGCTCTTTGAGTGATTGGAGTTGATCTAATGCAGACCTTTTTGACGAATTGGCTGTTTCAAGTTGTTTTTTGTTGACTTCAACCATGTTCTGATGATCTTTTTGAATTTCTTGCAGCTTTTGATCGAGAAGGTTTCGATCATTTTCTACTTTCTTGATACGTGCTTCACGTTCATCTAATTGAGAAGTCATATGCCCAACCTCTCTCTCGAATTCCAACACTTTTCGCTCCAGAGCCAACATCCGATCAACATTCCCATCTCGCAACTTTTCTAACGTTCGTATCTGATCATGTGCTGCGTTCAACTCAGTGGTCATTTCTCGCACTTTGTCATGGGCGTTAAGTGTACGTTCGGATTGAGATTGATTCAAAGACGAAGATCGACTGGTGGAGGGAGGTAATTTGGGAAAGTGTCTTGAACCAGCTGGAGTGGTCATCGCAGATTCGGCATGCTGTAAAACACGTGATCCTAGTGTTGGCCGCTTAGCGGTTGATTCTAACAAGTTCAGTGGAACAATTCAAAGCCTTGATAAGTCGTAAGAAATGGATTGACGAGATGGTAGAATGCACATCCTAGCTTTCGAAGTTAATCGTGAGATTCACCTCTTTGATTTTGATTCGGTGTTAAGGACCTCTTGGTTGGATGCCCAATTGATGTTCCATTTCTCGCCGCCAAAGGAGTTTCTTGAGGTTCTCGAGATGAGGAACGAGCACGTAGTACGCGCGTAGTAGGAATTCGAGATGAGGCAACCGGAAGTCTACCGGTACTTGGCTTGCGTTGAAGGGGTCTTCCTTGTCGGGAATTTTCAAGGGGTGTTGATGACATGGATGTGAGCTTGTTTAATCCATCAAATTGAGTAGAAGAATGCGAAGAGAACTGATGAAAGAAAAGTAGAATTGACAGATGATTCGATTGGTTCTGACTTGTTGGCTGGCCCCTTTGTTGTCCACGGATCTCAACTACATATTCGAGTCTCGCAGGGGCGTACTGGTACCGCCACGGTACCCGGTTTCGCCAGACGCGCACGGAGTCACAGTCCAGGGCCTCCCGAGTCCCAGGGCCAAAGACCCACAAGTTGGTCTCATTTGTTCTCCCAGTTTAAAAAAAAAACACACTGAGGAGGACAGTTCCGCCACTGCCACAATCCTCAAAATGCGTCGCTTCCACCATCTCTTCTCTCCCCACAGGAAACTGATCTCGATCGCACCTTGGACAAAATCTTGGTAAGTTTTACGATCTTCATATCCTCCAAATTGTTGATTTTGAATATCTTTCCATGATGAGGACCAAATTTACTTGAGATTTCTGGATGATGGCCTTGTTTTTGTCAAAAAACTCGCGTCAAAAGATTTCAATCATTTTTTTGTATTCACACTCTGAACCCTTGTTTATCAATCTTTTTGATATTTCTTTGTTATAGATTACTAACTGGATTTGTTTCTATCTTTGGCTTCTCTACGTTAGACGATCTTTCAGGCTTTTGATTTAGGTGCCTCGTACCCGAGCTTCCAAGCTGTTTGCCAGATTCACGCTATGGAATTCGGCCTAGCAATTAGACAGGCAGTGATTAGCTCTGGACGAACAGGTGGGACGTCTTTGCCTCATTTTGACTTTGTACGAGCGAATCTCTTGTACTTGTAATATCACAATGAAATGAAACCATGTGAAGTTTGATGTCATCAGATCCATGAATCCTTGGTTTTCGAACCATTCGGCTCATATCACATACAACGATTTATGCAATATGCTTTGAGCCATTAGACTTAGAAATGGAATCTCAAGGCAAAAGCTGCAATCAGCACCCACCACTCTCAATCTGCCTTTGTCTTCCTTACTTCACGAACAATTTTTAGAGTCTAGGGGTGTGGCACATCACGTTTGTTGACACCATTTCTTGCAAGTTAGATGAGGACTTTGAATTGAGAAGTGCTCACAAAACTCCTACGTCCTGGACATCCCACATTTCCGTTCAGAGAGCATTGCTAGTAAATGGTAACACAGAGTGAATCACATCGAGTCAATCCTGAGTAAAGTAGACACACAAAAGCGAGAGAAAACAATCACGGAGAAATTGAAAAGCGGAATACAGTCAAGGAGCAAAAACAAGAAGAAAGGACCGTGTTATAAATTAATCTTGAGGAGGTTGAGAATCAGACTTGCGAAAAGGACGATTTACAAATTCAGGATGAGGAAGAGAATCGGAAGGAGTTAGATTTAATGGTTTCACAAGGTTCTGATATGTATCACGAATTGATTTATGAAACAATCGTCTTGAATTTAACTCTTGTTGTGGGCAAGGACTGAATTCATTAAAAAGATTAGACGTTTGTTGAATAAATAACATGAAGATAGCTCTAAGACGATAAATGTATTTAGGATCAACTGCACAAGTTGTACCTATCATCGCAATTTCTAATTCTTCAGAAGGATTATGATCTAGGTAATCGTCCGGAATTTTAACTGGTGAGTTTTGACCATTTTTTGTAGGGAAATCAATCTTTGTCTGCAATTTCTTGTTAGGTAAGTTCAATATCTCCTCGTCTTCTTTTCCATCTTCCAAAGGTGATCTTGCCCTCTTTTTTCCTTCTTTGATTGCTTTGCGGTCCGGACCAAGTAGGTTGGTTTTGATAGGAAAAGGAACAATAGCTTTGATTTGTGGATTGAAAGAAGAGTCTGAATGTTCATGAATGATGGCGGTAGAGGTTTTAGGAGCGGGTGCAAAAGCAATGAAATCGTCATCAAGGTCAAGGATTAACGGCTCAAGACTTTCCAATTGGGGTCGCGCCTGGCGGGCCTCTTTGAATGCGTTGTTGGAATGAGTAGCCTCAGGTATATGAGGAGAAGAGCGAAATGACTTTTCACCAGCACTCGGAGAGCCGCATTCGTAATTTTTCAATGGTTCCAAGTCTGGTGAATATGGCGGCTCGGTGAAGGGATCAGAAAGAGGGCATTCGGGGAGGAACAGAGGCAAAGGACACGATGTTTGAGCTTTAGGATTGATATCATTCAAGTTTGATTGAGTCCCAGTGGTCAGGTCAAGGAAACTCTCGATGCCTGAAGGAATATATAACGCCCCATGTACTTCGTGACTGATAGTACGCTTGTGGTGAAACGACGATTCCGGAGGCTTTCGACTCTCGGGCGCTTGCATATCTGCCTTGGAGGATGACTGGGTGAATTGAGGATATTCAGTCAACACCGAGCGTGGCTGCTTTTGAATGTCATTTCCGTCTTTACCAGTAGGTCGAGAGTTTGAGCTTTGAGAAATAGGAGTGCGATCTTTCTGAGATAGGGAGGCACCCTCTATGAATGAGTAGATTTGGGCTCATCAGCATCATATCTTCGCCACCACGTGAGGATGATGCAAAACGAACTTACCATAATTGTTTTGAAAAGAAGTCTGATGGCGTTTGTTAGAACGATTGAGGTTCGCTTGATTAGATGACATTATTTATGTAGGTGCTTTGGTGATTCGAAAGAATAATAAAGCAAAACCTGGGCACCCAGACGGCAAGAACACCTTTTTGAAGTGGGGAAGAGCGAGGAACAGGAGGTCAGCATGCTATAGTCGCGGAGTCCTCCCAGCTCACAAAGCTGAAATTGAATGCTCAACGACTGCTTGATGATACTCATGCAGAGCGCAGAAGTGATTCCTGGAGAGACCAAGAAGGGCCGCCGAAGTTCTGCAGTCCTCTCAGCTGGGCAGACATTCATGATGAGTCAAAAAGCCAGAATTCAGCCCTCAAAAAAGGTTTTCTAGACCCCCCTCAGTCCGTGAGCCTCAGGTATGCGAACTCGACATATCCATGAGTCAAGCTCAGTTGCTTGGTTGTGACCGACCAGATAGAGACAGTTCTCTTTTCTCGTGGCCGTTTAGACTTTCGATACAGACGTCTGGGATTTTCTTGAGACACTCGGAGTCGAGCTCGGTGAGCGATGAGGGATAAGCGAATTCAGATCTGGTGGCTGAGTTGAGAAGTCATGGTTTGTTGAGACATTCCTTGAATGAACAGGCGATGGTCCCCGTTGAGAGCTTTAGATGCGCGCTCATCCTCATCCTCTCGGACTCACGCTTTTCAAGCTAAAACAAACAGGCGCAAACATTTTGGTCTGAGTCATGTAAGAAGCTCAAAGTCACCGACAAACGATGAAATTGTAAAACTTTCGAATATCACAACTCCCGGACACTACCAAACAATTTTTTTGCCCTTGTAATCGAGGAACTGGCCACCATCACCTTCACCCAGACGGCTGATAACACCACAGAGCTGTTCGACAGCCACCTCGGCATCATGTACTCCCTCCTTACTGCCAGCTTTGTCTTTTGATACAAAGTCCTTGGACAAATTCGTACCCGCAACCGTACCAGGATGCAAAGCTACAGTAACAGCAGGAGCAGTGGAGCGACCATTAGATAGCTCTCGCTGTAAAGTGACGATAATTGAATTGAGAGCACTCTTGGAAGCGCGATAAGAATACCATCTGGTCCAGATCGACATAAGCTGTCAGTCTGTCGTTCTTGCGGAAATTGAAACAGTAACGTACCCTCCTAAAGTATTGTCACCGATACTACCTACTCTGGCACTCATACTTGCAAGAACATGTACGTTTGGTTTTATCAATCCTTTTGCTGGGTCTTGATCACTTTGGTTATCTTGATTCTTTGAAGATTTCGGTGGAATTAGTGGAGCAAAGTGCTTATAGGTCAAGAGGTGTCCGAAAGTGTTGATCTAACAAGCAAAGTCAGTTGAGTGGAGGTTAGAGATTCATCTCCATGGTCCTTGGCACATAAAGAAATATCAATGAATCAATTCCTTTCTGAGCTTACCTCGAAAGTTCGTTTCATATCCTCAACATTAATCTGCTGGATCGATTTCTCGGGAAGTAGCTGAAACCACCGACAAATGTGCGTTGGTGATGGCGTGGTCAAACTTCTGCCAGTGTAGCGATGTTGAAAAACTCATTTGTCAAGTGGAAGGAACCAACGACTTACCACACCCGAGACGTTGATCAAGAGCCGCAACTGTCGCCCGAATCTATCCTTGACCAATCCAGCAGCTTTTTCGATCGTCTCCTCGCGTCTCACATCCAATTCCACCGTTGTTAATCGATCATCAGCACTCTTGAGGTTAGCAAGGATCGCTTCACGAGCGTGTTTGGGGTTTTGTGAGGTCGCAACCACTTTCAGATCGGTGTTTTTAAGAATATAGCGAGCGAAAGAAAGTCCAATGCCTCTAAGTATTCCTGATCAGTTTATGTGACTATTACGCGTTTGAAGAAGATGTTGACTAACTTTGAGGAACCCTGGATGACGGCGATGTTAGCTGCCATTTTGAGAGCGACTATGAGCAGAATAACACTTCAAAAGAATGTTCCCAGTTTTGAGGATAGTCAGGAAGAGTCGCGCATCTTTTAAAGGCACTCTATACGCAGGTCATTGGCGAAATCCAAGAAATAACGTCATCGTTGAAGTGACGTCACCGCTCGATCGATATACCCTACATACCCTACATCTCCCTACATCTCGCACAAACTTATCAACTTCATCACTGGGCAAGGGAAACTCTCAACATGTAGCATGAAGTTAGACCTCTTGAAGTAATTTTGTCCTGAACTTTGACATCACGATAACAATCGAAAAAGATCGAATGAAGGTGATTTTAGGTTTTCCAACACTTCCAAATATTTATTAGTTTAAATAGCGTGTTGTCGGCTGGCGCGTCATGTGAGCGTGATGGCGCAGCTGGTAGCGCGCTGGGCTCATACGGTCACGTGACCGTGAAACCCAGAGGTCGTCGGATCGAAACTGACTCCCGCTAGAAAATGTCTTTTTGATTGGTCACTGCAGGAATTGCACAAATCGCCTCTTGCGACTTTTTGAAGAACCTGCAAGGTGTGTCCGCTATCCGCTCTTGAGAGTGTCTCACACGTCAGAGTGTCAGTATCCCTCTTGCGCGACTGTGTGCAAATACGCGTTGATGGCCAATCCCAGAATGTTGTTGTACCAGTCGAGGTCGTTTCTTGATGGGATTTCCCTGCGGGTGAAAGTGCACCAAAGCCCAAGCTTGGCTAAGCCTCTCTTCCAACGCGACCAAGTCCGCTCCCTCTCCGCCTCGGAAGAGGGGCTTAGTTAAGCTTAACAAAAGCCGCAGGAAGATAAGCAGATGGGGTTTACAGTGATGGAATACGTCGGCCGGTGAGATCCAAGTATGCTATATCTAGATTTTCGCATCTCGCTATTTCGACTTGACAGTCAGATCATCAAAACAAAATATCCCATAGTCTTTTATCCAATCACGCAACCCACCCTGTGTCAAGCCATGATATGCAATGAAGATTCACTTTCGTACTGCGACCAATATTTATGTAGAAGTAAGGAAGGAATGATTATATGCCTGGGCTCACTTTGACCCTATCATTTCCTTTCGAAATATCAACCTTTCCAAAATCCAACTTTTTTAGTCGTTTCTGATAACATTTGTCAATCTTTTCGTTATGAGAGCATTTTACCTTTCACAATTACTCCTCATCCTGTTTGTGGGGCTCTCTTTCCCCTTAGCTCAGTCAGCGTCTAGTCCAACAAAATTGACTACCGTCCACACTTTTTCAAGTCCAGAATACCGCCACCGACTCGCTAAGCGCACATGGACCTTTTGGTCTTTTAACAAACCTTTTGGTGGACCAAAGGACGCGACGATGATTACTCCTTGGTATATATTATACAATATGGTCGGCTAATTTCTTTGATCTGTGGTAGTTTATCTCTCAAGCTCTTGCATCATTTCATAGATTTACAACCGGGCCAAAACAGTCGGTACCCAAGAAACTGTCCTATATGGCGTTGCTCAGACCACAGTTCATTGGGGGAACATTCTTAAGATTGCAAACCTTCGAAAAACGTGGGTTCACAAAGTCATTCCTACAGTGAATCTCAACATGTACTAAAGAGCTGTCTCTTTCAACCTCTTTCACAGGTCAAACGTGCCCAAAAGCTATGCTTTCCTTGGAATGACGTCTGATCTCAATCACCGGATCAAAGATTACTCCTCCATTCCCTCAACTTACACGGTGCGTTGTGTGATCCAATCACGTGTCCGACTCCTAGGATGTTTCGCTCACTTTTACTGACATATCAATTCTACTACATAGTGGACTCGTCAACACGCAAGATCTGGCTTCAAAGGGAACGTTTGCTACGACTTTGTTATTTCCAATGGCCCTAACAAGCGTTCAGACCACGAATTGATGTTGTGGCTCGAATGGGAAGGAGGACAGCTACCAATCGGTGCAGGTGGTAAAACTATCAGAATTAGAAACCTTTATGGTCAAGACTGGACTTTGTACCAAGGCATGAATACCGATATTAATGTTCCAGTTAGGAGTTTGATTCCTGATCGACAATACAAAAATTCTTTTAAGGGTGATATGAAGGATTGGTTGATGAAAGTAGTTGAGGCTGGTATCTTTCGAGAAGACGCGTACCTCTGGACGGCCAATCTAGGGTTAGTGAATAATTGAATTTGAATTTGATGAGTTAGTCACATCTGAACTTACTTATTACCTTTCTCTGGAATTCAGGATGGAAGCATTTTGGGGTGACTCTACATTCAATGCGTACTCTTCACTTCAGCTTTTGTGGAATGGGAACCAACATAGAATTGGCTACAAACCTTCTGGGTATAAACAACCTACTGCCGGAAGTGTAGTTCCGGGTTACGAGAAGACTCGCTAGTCTGCCTCTATCAACATATGGCTCATATACCTTTTATTTCAAATTTGTAATCTATCTGTGAAGCTACCTGCATCAATTCGGATTCAGGCAAAAAATGTGAATGACAATTCAACTGTTGGCTCTTTGTTCGCATTTGTAAGAGGTGTTCCTGGCATACCCACCCAAAATAGTGTTGCCTAGACTTTGGCCTAAACGAATATGCAAATATACTGCGAGAATACCACAAAATTATTCTTCATACCCAAATATTATAAGTTACTGTTCTCTAAGCTTTGCTTTCCTTCGTTGGTCAGCTACCTGGCGTCTTTCTCTGTCGCGCGTAGCGACTCGCGGTACGCTAGGAACGTACCAGCGCCTACATACGGGTCGGCGCGCTGCGATATCCTGCGCCGCGCCGTTGGGAGTTCTATAGTCTCCCTGCGACAAAGATACTCCCCCTGCCATGAATCACCGCAGGAAGTTAGGGGTTGCAAACCGCGGCGATTTGAACATCACCATATGAAAAAGGAAGTTATATATGTCTGTTCTCCTCTTTGCCGCGCCAATTTGTGCTCTTTTTCGAAATAGTCGTCTTACAAGATTTTCGTAAAAATTTGTCAATATCGTTTTCCTGATGAGAGCTTCGGTATTTTTACATTTCTTTCCCATCCTATTTGTAGGAGTCACTTTTTTATCGACTCAAACTACTTCTAAGCCATCGGAATCGGATCTGAATCATATCTCTTCCAGACCCGAACACCACCACAGGCTTGTTAAGCGTGTATGGACTTTTTGGTTATTTGATAAACCTTTTGGTGGACCAAAAGACGCGACGATGATCACACCTTGGTATATATTGTTCAACATGGTTAGCTCATTGCTTTGATTCGTAAAAGTTGATCAACCGTTATCTGGTGGTGTCTGAACTTTTTCCGTTATCTTTTAGATTTACAATCGGGCTAAGACTATCGGTACCCACGAAACTGTCCTTTTCAAAGTTGATGGTACCATAGTTAATTGGGGGAACACTATCAAAATCGCGCACACCCAAGACACGTGAGTGTATAAAGAAATTCCTACACTGTGAAATTCAGCTAATGATTCAACTTCTTTCTCAGGTCCAACGTGCCGAAAAGCTATGCATTCCTTGGAATGACTTCTGATCTCAACCAAAGGATTAATCAGTACTCATCTATCCCATCAACTTTCACGGTGCGTTGAGTAATTCAACTTCAAGTGAAATACCCAATATGTTTTCACACTTTTCCCTGATGTTTTGATTTTAGTGGTCTCGTCAAAACGGAAAAGCGGGATTCAAAGGGAACGCTTGCTATGACTTTGTTGTTTCCAATGGTCCTAACAAACGTCCAGATCACGAATTAATGCTATGGCTTCAATGGGAAGGAGGACAGCTACCAATCGGCACCGGCGCTAAAACTATTCGAATCAGAAACCTTTACGGACAAGACTGGACTTTGTACCAGGGTCTTAACAAAGATATCAATGTTCAAGTTAGAAGTTTGCTTCCTGATCGTCAGTACACGAATTCATTCAAAGGTAACATGAAGGATTGGTTGATGAAACTCGTCGAGGCTGGTATCTTTCGAGCGGACGCATACCTGCATACGGCCAATTTAGGGTTAGCGAAGACATGAATACCAAATTCTATGAACCGTTATCTGATCATACTTATTATCCTTTTGGAAATTCAGGATGGAATCATTTTGGGGTGAATCTACCTTTAAAGCACAGTCTTCACTTCAACTTTTATGGAGTGGGAACCAAAATCAAATTGGATATAAGCCTCCTGGATATAAACAACCTCCTGCCGGAACTGTAGTTCCGGGTCGCGCAAAGACTCGCTAGTCTGGTTCTAGCGAGTATTTATATTTATATCGTCTTAACTTTGTTATAAACCATCTTTGAAGCTAGCTTCCTCAATTCACTTTCAGGCAAAATGTGAAGTTTTCACTTCCAACGCCGCACACCGCGCGTCTCTAATCTTTATTGCTTGTTTGGCTTTGCAACATCCTCCACCAATATACCGCTTTCCCGACTTTGACATAGTCTAGAAGATGGATCAAAGTCGCATTTAGTTTTCTCATGTTTATAATCAACATCCAAATATATTCTTGAAGATATCACCAATCCGAGCTCAAATACTGTACTTAGTTTGTTGCAATTTGTAATTATTTATGTTAATAAAAGACTTCCTATGCATCTATGATTGTTTGAGGAATTTTTCCTGATTCCCAAGAGGATATCTATGTCAAGTATCGTAATCTGACCAATGTCCTCAAATTATCATACAAATACATTTTGTTTGAAATGGAAATATCATGATCATATTACAAGCTGCTGAATAGTTGAATGATTTTGAATCCATTTCCCAAGAACACTTGAGAAGAGGGTATTTAGGTGAGGTATTGGTATTCGAAATTTCCGGATCAATTGTTAAAACCAACCAAGAGATTGACTTCAGGGTAGCAGTGAAGTTGACTATTCAAAATGTAGAACATTTATCATCAAAATCAATATCGATTTGGATTTATCCATTGATCCTTACGAATTCTTTGCTTATCAAACAGAAAGCTAGTAAATATATATACTTCGGGAAAGGGTTTGATTGAAATGATAGGTATATACTCAGGATGTACCTCAGACTCAGAGAGTGATGATGTTCTTTAAACATGCATGTCTCCTGACTGGGAATCGGATGAAGTAGAGAGAAACAGTGTTTTATGAACAGTAGTTCAGTAGAAATGCAGTTAAGAGTGGTAATTGAAGTTTGGTCTCGATCAAATGAGCAAACCAAACCAAACCACATCCAATCCATTTCCAATCGATTCTCAACCATCAAATACGCAAACTATCAAACCGAAGAACCAATCATCAATCTCAAACCATGCCAGCTTCTTCAAGACCTTATGATCCAAACCTCAAGACTGCATATAAATCAGATCCATCTTTACTTTCGGTCAACTTCAATCAAGATTATACTTGTATAAGTGTAGGAACTAGATCTGGTTATGCTATACATAATTGTGATCCGTTTGGAAGAGTTTATGCAAAGGGTAAGTCTTGATAAACCATAAATTCATCTTATTGATCTATATCATAAATTGATTAGAATGTTTTCTTGAACTTTTTTTGGCAAATCGGTCTACAACCCTCAATAAAACAACCAATGTGATGTTCATCGATGAATTAATGAATCTCAGGTGATTCTGCTATTGGAATTGTAGAAATGTTATTTTGTACTTCATTAGTAGCATTAGTAGGTACAGGTGATCGACCTTCACCAAGTACTAGGAAATTACAAATTGTCAATACCAAGGTAAAACAAAACAAAACAACTAATCATTCACTCTTCTTTATCAAATTTGAATTAGATTCTAACTTTGTTTTTTTTGGGGGGATTTGATCCTTTTCAATAGAGACAATCAACAATTTGTGAACTTACTTTTCCTACATCTGTTTTAGCTGTTAAACTTAATCGAAGAAGACTGGTGGTAGTCTTAGAAGAACAGATTTATCTTTATGATATAAGTAATATGAAATTACTTCAAACACTTGAAACTAGTTCGAATCCTAGTGGTAAGTTTCAATTCTGACCTTTGAAATCAATTCCAAGTGACTTACTATAAATCATGCTTTCAATTTTCTCAAAACGTTTGCTGACTTGATCATTCGAATTAGGTATATGCGCTCTTGCACCATCTTCAGAAAACTGTTATCTTGCCTTTCCTTCTCCTCTTTCATCACCTTCTGCTCCATTCTCTAATGCGCCACCTACGCCGACCTCTTCATCTTCAGTCAGTACAGGAGATGTTTATCTATACGATGCAATGTCATCATCAGTCACCAATGTGATTCAAGCTCATAAAGCACCCTTAGCTTTGATCTCATTCAATTCGACGGGTACTTTGATGGCCACAGCATCCGATAAGGGAACTGTTATCCGAGTCTTTTCAGTCCCGAATGGTGAAAAAGTCTTTCAATTCCGACGTGGTTCATACTCAGCTCGAATCTTTTCAATCTCTTTCAATGCAGTCTCAAGTTTATTAGCCGTTAGCTCAGATACAGATACAGTTCATATCTTTAAACTTGTTACAAGAGGTTACAAAGCGGGTGGTAGTAGTTCTGCACCAACACGTAAACCTGGTCTGACAGGTCGATCACTTTCGACTGGAGATATGGCTGATGCTGGGGCTGAGGATGATGATGCTTCGATCACTAGTTCATCAGGTGGACGGTATAATGGATCTGGATTAGATGGAAAAGGTCTGTCTTCAGCTAAAACCCCACAGCTAGGTGGTTATGAAGCTTACATTGAAAACAAACGAGGTTCATCAGGTTCATTTGGGTATGTTACCCTACCTAACCTGATACAATTTTGAGAAACTCGTGCTCAGTGAGATCATACTGATCTAATTTATAATCTTTAGTGGTAGTTTGAGAAAGAAGTCTTTTAACCTTGGTCGAAGTTTGGCAGGAGCAGCAGGAGGATATCTTCCTAATACACTTACTGAACTTTGGGATCCACAAAGAGATTTTGCATTTCTAAAACTTCCATCAAGTGGTATTAGAACAGTAGTAGCTTTAAGCAGGTCAGTGATGATTTATTTGTATCTTTTCTCATTCCACAAAAAAAAGATCAAACCAGTTATACTGATGTGATTTGATGAGGGTGTTTTTTTTCTGCTTCTCTCTTTCTTAGTACGGCACCTCAAGTCATGGTAGTTTCATCAGAAGGAGTTTTGTATTGTTATCATATCGATTTGGAAAATGGTGGAGAAGGCATCTTACAAAAAAATCATAATTTATTAGAAGGATTAGATTCTTATGATTCTAGTGAAACATCTAATCATCATACAAATCAACAGAGAGGAAATGAAGATGGGAATGAATTTACACAGGATTGAACACATGAATTGATCTAGGTGTTTTTTTCGTCATATGATTGAAGTTTTTGCTTTTTTTAATTTTTTTTGATGGGTTTATTATATGGGATCTTATTTGATCTATTCTTTTTTTCTTTACTGTTTTTCTTATTTAAGATTTTTTTTTCAGATGGAGATAAAAACTTTCTGTTCTTTTTAAAATTGAGTTATTTCTTATTTTTTTTGGTGCTAGATCTAAAGATACTTGTAAATATGTTTTCTTTTCTTTTCTTTTCATTCATTTTCTTATCAGGTTGATTCATCAGATTGATTGATTGATAAATATATAGTACTGTCACTGAATTTGGGAATGTCATTGGTTTCGAATTTCAATTCTGGATAGAATTTGGAAATGATGTGTGGGCAGGAAGATCATTGTGATAATTGGGATTTTGAGATATTGGTCATGAGATGTCGAAATCTTTATAGGCACCTATATCTCAACCTAGAATCTCATCAAACCAACAATAGTTCCTAGGGCTTGGAAGCGTCTGCAGAGCTAGACGTCAGTTTGGGTTTCCTTTCGGGTTTAAGAGTTCTCCTTTGATCACCATCTCAGGAGCGTGATTGGCTCTATCTATTCACGGAACCTTTAAACTACATTCCTCATGGTTTATCGATAAATATCATCAAAGCAAAACTCAATGTTGACCAATGGTAATTCTTCTTACTCATTTATCAAACTTCATGTTGTTTTCTTAAATTGCAGTGATCACAAAACAAAAAGTTGAACAAAAAGACTTGATGTACAATATAACATGACAGAACCTGATGGTATGATACGGCAGCAATTAGAAATGATCACAAGGATTATAAGTTTTTTTTGTGACTTTTACATGGGTCCCAGGTTTGATTAGATTGTTGCATATTGTAGCAATATTTTAGGCTTGGAACCCCAGTCACACAGTAAGTCGAGTCGGATCCTCGTTATAGTCAGAATCCATTTGGGTATGAGCAAGACGACGGTCCTTGATCGAGATTGATAGTTGAGTTGTCTTAAGGAGTTGCTCGACCAAACCCGTGCTTTTGATCTAGAATCATACCAATACGATAAGGGTATATCCCAAGATATCATGATTTTTGAATGATGAATACATATCGATATAAAACCGACGAGAGCAGGAGGACCAAAACCTTCACCCAAAGAACCTTTACCAAATCCGTTTGCCAGCCAATTCACGTTGATAAACCCATTCTTTTCTTTCTATTTCACGTCTATTAAATTCTTCTTTCCATTCAAGATCAAGTTTTTGTTTCCATTCCCATTGATGAGATTCTTCTTCTTCAAGATCTGATTGATGATTTTTTAAATTTGAAAATTGATAAGATTTAGGAATTCGATCTTGAGCCCATTCTTTCCAACCGTTTGGAATCAAGATCGGTCCAAGACATCCACCTTGGATAAACATTCTCCAATCGTTCCATGAATCTAATTGCCACCTTTTACTTAAGATCTTAATGGTTAAAGTACTTGTGCTTAAAACTATTAAAGTAGCTATACCTAGTGCGCTGATAGCATCTAATCCTGGGTTGAAATTAATTTCTGGTTGTTCAGTTGATTCTTTTGGATCTTTTATACATAAAATTGATTTGTTATCCCAAAAAGTTTGATGAGTTGTTGCAAGGGTTTCAGTTGAAGATGGGTTTATAGAAATATCAGAGTGAGCTGATGGTTGTAGTTTTGGTTGAGTTGATGGTATTTGAGAAGTTGAAGATAAAGTTTGGTTTGAATGAATTGGTTGACCAGTGAATTTAGGAATCCGTTTAGTAAGTGCTCTTGCAGTTCTACCTAACCAAGAAAGAAAAATTTAAATCAAAAAAAATTTGATCAAAAAAATCTTTTTAAACCAAAGCAAGAGTTTTTGATGATAAAATTTAAAATTAATGGTTACCAGTAATCAATAAAGCTGATCCTAATGAAAAAAGTGTGATTAATCCAAATTTCTTTTCGGATGATAAGTCTTGCCATCTTGAGTTTGGTTTATCATTTGAGGTTTGGTTGATCGTCGAGTCAGAACTCATGATCTTGAGTCTGGAACTTGAAGTGGTGGTGGGGTCAGCGAGATATTTACAATTTGCAAGGAATGGGATGCAAAAATATTTTGGTTAAGCTTGAGTTAAGGCAAGGCTTCTTAGGTCACACTTAACAGGCAGACGATCTCAAACAGCGCTGAGCTGTGCTGAGCCTTTCAAGGCGAATTGCTTTCCTCTCAAATCAACTTCGTATAAACCCAACTTCTTAGTCATTTTGAGCGCATCTTATTCAAGCGCTATGTCCATGGCACTGACTAAACTTGAAAAGTCACACCCACAAGCTACATCTTTGCGCTTTGTTTTGTCTTTGGAGATGTGTCGCTTGAAGCAAAACAGACAATCAGAAATCTTTCTTAGCATACCGTCATGAAGCCCACTACCATGATGAAGCAATGAGCCATATCAGAAAGAAAGTGGTCCGAATCGAAATCCCTATTTTCAGGTGGCGTGGAGGTTTGGTTGGATCTAGCGGTCGATCATTTCAATACCGGCTGAGCTCAGATGGCTTCATATCTGCCGCGTTGTCTGTGACCAGCCTGAAAGCTCGTAGACTGATCAATAGGATGTATCCAATTGCCATCCACCTAAATCATTAGATGGCGATATCAACTAACGGCTTGCTTACTCTACTTTTACCGATCTTGAGGGCGACTCACAACGCAAAGACACACACATTGACACATCGGATACTCTGTTTGAGTTTGTGACTAACTGAGGCCGAGTTGAACGAACAGAACCTTCAGCCTACACAAAGCATTGTGGCTGTCATCACTTCTCTAACTTGCCATCCATTGCAACACTGATAACACTGAGATGGAGGCGAAACCAAATGGGATATAAAACGTACTGCTTTCTCCATCAGGTCCCAGGTCTTTTACTCCAAGTCGTGAACTTCTTAACACCTATCCTATCCTCTATCCTCATATCGAAAACATTCAGGGCTGTGCTCTTCAGATCAATAAGACTATTTTATTCTTCTTTAATCAATCAATAAGCTTTCTTAAAACCTTCAAACCTTTGGGAGCTGCGCCTTTCAAACCAACAAATTCGATTCCTCCTTTCTCATTCTCATTTGAAACAGCTGTGCTGTACCTCTAAACTTATCTCCTTTGCTCGCATTCAACTTTTTTCAAATCGCCTCTTATCCTTTACTCCTCAATAAGAACTCATTAATCGTCTCCCTCGAAACTACTTAACCTTTAACACTTATTCATCAATATGAAGCTCTCACAATCCTTCGTCGTTGCGTCGTTGTCTGTGGCCCAGGTTGGCTTATCAGCTCCGATCCCTGATTCACCGGATCCAAAGTAAGTCAATTATCTTTTACATAATTATTTTGCCAGATTACTAATTCATTTTATTTTTTATGCATCAGTCTTCTTTCTCCTCGCCCATCAGAAAACAATATGAATGGAGCATTATCTCCTAGGATGAATCCCTTATACTTTGGTCGTCGAACACCTTCTCCTATGAGTCGTCGATCAACCATGGCGCGTCGAACTCCCTCACCAATGGCTCTCGAGGCACGTGATCTTCTCAAAGCTGCTGCCAACTTGTCCGTCGGAGGTGGAGGTGGAGGTGGGAATGGTGGTGGTAATGATGGAGGTAATGGAGGTGATGATGATAATCCTAAACCATCACATCGTCATCACTCTCCTCCAAAGCCAGAACATACTCCTAAGCCAAAGCAACAAAATCACCCTCATCCTCATAAGCAGCCAAAGAAACAAGATTATAATGAAGGAAGTGGCACTCACTTGAACTCTGATACGCAACTCAACGGAGGTAGTCTACGATCACAAACAAATCTTCACTCTGGCAACGGTCATAACAGAAACAATGATCGACCTCAAAGCGCTCCTAGTGCTCCTAGCGGTGGTGGAGGTGGTGGAGGTGGTGGTGGCAATGGCGGTGGTGGCGGTGGTGGTCTGTTAGACTTGGGGGTAGACTTGAGTGTTCTCAAGCGTGATATGTGTAAGTTCTCGATGCAAAGTCTTTCTCTCTATGTCATAGATCGATTTTATAGCCGCTCAGGAAAATATCTAATGTTCCAAATTTACCTTTTTCAATCACTTTGATAGCTTTGAACAAGCGAGATTTCTCACAACTTATCTCATCACTTTCGCCAACTGACCTTGCACTGCTGAAAACCGAATTGTCTCAACTACCAATTCCTCTACCTCAAGCCACCCCATCTTCCAATAACCAACCTTCTAACAATTATGCTTCTAATAACGGATCTACCGGCTCAAAGAGCGCCCAACACTCACCATCACTCATCAACGGTCTGGACGAAAAGCTCACTCAAACCGCGAATGGAGTTCCTGTTGCCGGTGGAATGCTTTCAGGTGTATTACAGGCTCTTCCCTTATCTGGTTTGACTGACGCATTAACAGACGGACCTGTAGGCGGGCTTGTCAGTGGGCTTTCTGGGCCTCTCGAGTCTTTACCCATGGTTGGTGACACCATCAAGGGTGTGGTGGGCACGGTTTTACCTAACAGTGGAAAGGATAGTCAAGGCCTTCTTACGACGGTGAAGAACACGGTAGGCGGCCTTCCGGTTGTTGGTGCTCCATTATCTGGTATCATGTCTGGATTACCTCTCGACACAGTCACCAATTTGGTCACCCCACTCTCAGGTGCATTGGACAAAACTACTGGAACCGTCTCTAGTATTCCGGTCTTGGGATCTACACTTTCAAACACGATGGGTTCCTTACCTGTACCTCACATTTTAGCCACCGCAAGCACTAGCGATAGTTCTAGCAAGGGAGGTATGCTGGCAGGTGTAACAGGAACCGCTACTGGTGCTATTGGTGGTCTACCAGTAGTTGGCGGACCTTTATCAGCTGCAGTCGGATCTCTCCCTCTCGATGGTCTTACAAAGGGTGGTTTATTATCAAGTGCGACGGGTACAGTCAGTGGTGCGGTTAGTGGTCTTCCAGTCGTGGGTGGTACTGTCTCCGGTGCGATTGGATCATTACCATTGGATCCATTGACGAAGGGAAGTGCAGTATCCAACGTGCTCAACATGGCGTCAAACACTGCAGGTGGATTACCAGTCGTCGGAGGTCCTCTTACTACTGCTTTAGGATCGATCCCAGCCGATACGGTCACAAAGGCATTACCCATCTCTTTAATGGCTATGTCGTCCGATGATAACTCCACATCAACTCTAGGGCATTCCTTCAACGCATTGTGAGTATTTTTGTTTTAGATTTTATGGTCACTCTTTACTGAGATGTTATATTTCTTTCGCCTGCAGACCCATTCCAGATGATCCAGCTTCTGTTCTTGCTGCTGCAGGAGGAGCTTTACCTATCCAACCTTCTAATTCACTCGATGGACTTACTCTTCCAAATTACTTGGGAGGAAATAGTCGAGAGGTATCACCTACTCCAGAAAAACCTCAAGCTACCAATCAATTCTCTGTTGGAACATCACCTCAACCTTATGTCATGACAAATGAACAACCTATTGGAGAGAACAGGATCGATTTGAACGCTTTGATTGCTAGCCATGGACTTAAACCTGATCCTGCTTTGAATCCAGTTTCAAACTCATCAAATTCTACTATGCCTCAGATCTCACTTAATGATACTGTTCTTTCAGACCCTACTGTCAATAGGAGATCTCCAGAACTAACTGGTCCTGCACTCATCTCACAGACCGGAAACAATCCGGTCCATTCTTTCATCGAATTATCCGACTTGAACTTATCATCAAAGCCTTCACCTACCCAAGCTGAAAATACAGTTCAATCGATTCCTCCAAGAGAAGAAGATATGCAAGACTCTAATCCGTCCAAGAAAAATGCAAAAGAAACCAAATCAAATAACAAGTCAACTGAATCTTCTTCTTCTCCTTCCTCTTCTTCTTCGCCTTCCTCTAATCCTTCAAGTTCTTCATCAGTCTCTCAATCAAGTTCTTCAAGTACCTCCACAAACCCATTTGCAGGAGTTTATGCACCTAAATATGATCCATCCTTTGGTTTCGCAAACCAACAAAAACCTTTAACTAAACGATCTCCAACGGATCCCACTAGTACGACTCCTCCTACTACCGGTTCAGGTCAACCTACAGCTTCTACTCCACCAGCACTCTCACCTGTCTTTGAGACTGTATACGAACACGTCACTCCTCCGGGTCCGATGCATACACCTAATCCTAAGATTAGTACCGATCATCCTTCTACTATGACGGCTTATCAAATCGAAAGAGAAAGTGGAACGGTCGTTCGTAGATGGTTTGGTGGTAAGAAAGGAACAAAATCCAAACAAGGTTAGTTTTTGTGTGTGTTTTTTCTTTATGGGGTTTGGTTTTATTGATAAGGTTTTTTTTTGTTTTGGATTCTTTAGGTTTCATGAAACGGTTTTGGGGAAGTGTTAAAGATAATCCTAAATTAATGGAAAGATGAAATAAGACTCTTTGATTTGGATTTCTTGGTTTTTTTGGGGGGGGGGCGAACAATTATGCTACCTTTTTTTTCTTTTGATCTATCTAGTTTTAATTGTTTTGTTTTGTTATCTTTGGATTTTGGATCTCTTTTTTGTTCTGTCTTATGATTAATGTTATGAATTTTTATTAATAATGAATCTTTTTTGATCGAAATATAAGAAATGATTTTTTTCAAACAAAAAAACAAATGAGTGAGATCATTTCTTTTGAAAAATTCGATTCCCAAATCTCTTTAGAAAAACTTGTCATGGAACCTGGTATAAGTCACAAGAAAATATATCGCTACTTAGAGTGATGAGTATATTTACTTTATGTTAATCATTTAAGTCCAAACGGGATGACAGGTCTCAAATCCAAATCATCCAAAGGGCCTTACAAGTTAGAAACATGTGCTCCAGAATCTAATCTACAAATAACGCATATCACACACATAGTTTTTACATGCGCAAAGCTGAGCTCATCATACAATTTTCAAAGAAATCCAACTGGTTAAATATCTTTGCATCTAACTGCGGTGAACTACATACATAGCAATCAAGATTTATCAAAGGATCCCACTATTTCTAGCCCCCTATCCGATATCCGGCGCCCCCCTCGGGTTTACCCGGGGGGCTTCAAGAGATTTGTAGCCCCTTTTCGAAAGAAAGGGGCTCCTTTGAGGGGCGCGACTTTAAGTTTATTTCGCCTTATTTTATAAGTCAACCGAACGTCCGCTACAGCTCATTGAGGTTCAGCCAAGTCGATATTGGTTTCATTCAAAGAACAGGTAAACATATTCAAGATAAAACATCACAGTTGAGGTAGAAGGTTAGAAATACCAATAACTACAATGGTTTGTGATATCCAAAATCAAATGAATTGAAAGCAAAACCAAATACTTGTACCAAGCAGTAAATTCAACAAAGTCCCTAAAAAACAAACCCATTTGTGGGCGTAGGTTGATAATCCACAACCAAGCATAAGCAACGAGCCAAGCGCTGTGGTTAAAACCAGACCGATATAACACAAGAAGGTCATACCAGAGGTTTGTTTTATAAGGATCATCATACTGCATACCATAAGTTAATAAGTCACCGGGAAAGTGGCTACATCTACATGAGAGGCTGCTGAAATCGTATATCAACTTTACTTGATGTCCGTGTAGTCGTAGGGCTGGTTCGGGTGTCTATCACTCCAATGCGAATAGCTAAAGTTTCATGACGACCTGTTCTTCTATTCACATCAAGTTGCTCTTAAATTTTTGAATCTGTTCCACTATTATTAAGATAATATGATGATGTATCGGTTGAAGATGGATGTTGAGATAAGATAGATGAAATGGATTGATTGATGCTAGGTCCACATAATGTGGTTTTTTGTTGTGATGATGAAGATTCAAAGATTGGATTGAATTGATGATGGATAGACTTGATCGAGAGAATTGATGAATTGATGGACGATGGTGCTCAATGATAGCTGGAGATTGGATGTGACTGGATTCTTTGTTGCTCTATTTGACGACCCAAGGGCTCCCAAGGGCGCAGAACAAGTCATACGGGGGAGAGTGGTGTGAATGCGCCCTCGCAAGCAGCCCTAAAGGTCCGACTATGCGAAAATCTGGCTGCTAACCTTCAAGTTTTGTCGGCCCACGCGGGTAATAGTCAAAACCCGAGGGGCGCCGGGGTTCTCCTAAGGGGGCTCGAAATAGTGGGATCCTTTTTTAAAGTTGTATAATTTTGACAAAACACCCATCATAATGTATTGAAATATGCATTTAGGCCTCTCAAAGCATACAAACATTTATTATGGTGATTTATGCCTATTTGTATAACCTGTGATAATGCATAGTAAAAATTGTCTCCTCAAATTATGCATTAGTAATAGGGGGTTTCAAGTTTGATTATAATATATTTTACATATTTTTCAAAAATTTGGACAAGTTGTTCATAAAAAATAATTTTTGTAAAACAGACATACAGCCATTCTGATATTTCTTGTTGCTCTGTTTTGAAAAAGAAAAAGTGAAACTAGGTGAAACCTAAGTTTTTACTTGATAAAACTTTGAAATTGGCTGTCATTCAAGGAAATACAGCTGATTTCCAAGTTTTAACTGGTTAGAACTTAGGTTTCAAGCTCACAAACTTTTTCTTTTGGATCCCAGTATAGACACCCCCCCTGTTTTGGTCCCTGCAACCCCTTAGAGGCCTAAGTAATTATGATAAAGCCTTAAGGTCCTATCTTTTGAGATAAAACTGACAAAACTTGCATTATTTACAAAAATGTAAGGGCCCGTTCGGCTGGATTTCGAAAAAATCGTTACACAAAAACGATTTTTCGATCTGGCCCTTTTTCAAGGGGCAGATTGAAAAACTCGAAATTCGGCTTTTTCGTTTACCAAACAGTCGACCAAATCGGTCAATGAAAAATCAAAATGGAGGGGCAAATGAGCCCAAAAACACTTTTTGGTCTCAAAAACAGCCTCAGGGCTGTTTTTCAAAATTGAAGATTTTTTGATCAAAAACCGTTTTTGGTTTTGATCAAAGACCGTTGCCGAACGCTGCTCTTTTTGTTGAAAACCAAAAACCGTATTTGGCCAAATACGATTTTTGGCTTTGGTGGAGTATTTGGCCAAAAACCGTATTTGGTTTCCAGCCGAACGGGCCCTAAACAATTGAGCCTAGCAAATCAAGGGAATCTTGACATTCCCTGGGAAAGGTTTATGAAACAGAGCTTGAGAGTTACAAATACCAATGCCAGTTTCAACCAAAAATCACGCCATTATCTTCCAGAAAGATTTATCAATAGGGATTTGAAAGGTCACACCAAATTGGAACCCAAGAGGGAGGTTTACATACATTTTGGTTTAATGTCATGATGAGGAAGTAGGATCAATTGACAAGAATATTTTGATTGACTCAAAATGATTGCATATGTTAACAAATTCCAATCTGAACAATTGTTTATGGAAACAGACCAGAGCTTTTTACACGTAAACAAATTAAGGGAGACAATGACTTTACACATTCTACATTGTATGTGTTAAATTCTGGAGGTCATACGTGTACAAAGATGAAAGCAAAGTTTTTGAGGTGTTTGCTGAGAATTGGCCTTTGGTCCAGCCTTTTTGACACATGCAGAGAGGTCACTTTCAGCTTCTTCCCAGGATGTACAGGCTTGAAGGAGTATTCTAAAACTCATTGAAAGGCTCTTGGTAAAGAAAAAGGTGAAGGGATCACGGTTTATGAGACAGTCTATGTGGAGATTTTGATACAAAGGCTCAAGAGTGAAGACAGGCTCGGCCATAGGCCCAAGACTTAATCATAACTACTTAGGCCTGTAAGGGGGTGCAGGGACCAAAATAGGGGGGTGTCTATACCGGGATCCTTTCTTTTTTCAAACAGGTGCAACAAGCAATATTGGAATGACTGTGTTTTTAATTTAGATAAAGGTGTCCCGCTTCAAAAAATTCACACATATCTTACAACAAAGGGCAATTTGTTGTAGTGTAAAAATGCATAAAAACCTCCAACTTGAAACCCCCTATTGGCTCAGGTTTGACTGTATTTTTTTCAAAAAAAAAACACATGGTAAGGTTAGATTTGTACTGTATGAAGCCTTTATAATAGGGGGTTTCAAGTCAAGAAATTTACGGTATTTTACAGTCAAACAAGTTGTCCAATGTTGCAAAAGATACCATAGATTTAAAAACTCGGGAGACCTTTTTAGGTGTCCCAAATGCTGTTAACCGTATATTTGCAGAAAAAAAACACCATAAAATTTAAAAAACTTGTCTGTTTTTTTAAAAAAATCACAAAAAAATCACATACCAAAGTGTTTTGTTTAAAAAAAAGTAGGGCTCAAGGGTTTATCATAACTTCACTGTGTCAATATTCATATAGCATGTTGACATACACACATGGAGAGTTCTGAAACAAATCTGAAAGTCTGTTGGTCGGATTTAGACTGAGATTGTTGTTGAGCGCCCTTTGTGAATAGTGCTTTATTCATAGGATTTGTGGGATCCTTTGTCATCAGCTGGGGTCAACTGACTTTCAATGTCCCAGTTGATAAGGGGAAGATGCACCTGTTGTGGCACCTCTTTGATGGGTCTTTACAGGGTCTAAGGAAAGTCTTTTGTGTGTGCACGTTGATGTGCTACACAAATTACACAAATGTTGACACAGTGACTTTGTAGGCCTGTAAGTGGATGAATGGACCAAGAATGAAGGGTGGTGTCACTGTTTATACTGGAATCCTATTTTTTTTGATGATTATCTTTTTCAAGAATGGTGTGGAGAAAGTCATTTGATTTAATTTAAGATTTTTCAAAAGGTTTCATTTTATGTTTGTGAGAGTTTGATGATTTCTTTGGATTGGTTTTTGGATCAAAGTTTAAGAAGTACATACACATTTTTGGGACTTTGTGAGTTCTCCTAAACAACCTTTGGCCAGTAATGCACATGTTGCAATTTCTTTGACCACACCACACCACACCACACCACAGAATTAAATCTACGCCTGACCTGCCGCACAACAAAATCCCTGGGCCACAACAACATTTGTTGTGTTACTGACAATTCAACTTTCTTTGGCGCTGTTGCACAACAGTGGGGGCACCACACAACCTAGCCTTACTTTTGGTTGTTGTAGTACTGAGCTTCCTAACACAAATGGTGCTCATTTTTGTATAGATTTCTTTGTCTTTATACAGATCATTGTCTTTATGCAGATCATCAAATAAGGGTAATGATTTGAATTCTTGTTGCTCTAAGTACCACAGGTGTGTAAAATTGGGAACCTTACATACATGGGCTCTTCTGAGCACATCTTGAAGGCCCTTGTAGTCTTGTGATATACTTGCACAGACCAAGAATTTTGAACTCAAACCACTACAGTTAAATTTTCCACAGTGACTTTGTAATTGTGTTCCAATCTATTTTTTGTTCAACCTCATCACCATATCCCATCATCAACATATGT